GCTACTACACCCACGCAGCTGCATGACCCACTCACGTGGCTTGCAGACACGGGTGCTTCACACCACCTCACCTTCGTCAAGGACGCCTTCGTGGAGCTGACACCGCACCTGCAACAGCATCATCCACGCCACATCACTGCGTTTGGCGGCACACGTGTGCCCGTGCGCGGTGTTGGCTCTGTGCTGTTGCATGCACGCACGACGAGCGGAGCCACGATGCAGATTGTGTTGCAGGAGTGCCTCTACGTGCCCGAGGGCCAGGCCAACCTCATCGCCCTCGGTCGTCTGACCAGGGACAGCAGCGGCAGGCCAACGGGCCACTCGCAGCGTGATGGCGCTGATGGGCACTACGTGCGCTTCAGCCACGGAGCCGAGGTCAAGCTGAAGGAGCGCAGCAGCCTCCGGTGCTGGCCCATTGTTGCTGTTGGTCCATCCACGGCACACGGTCTCACCGCCGATGCCTGCAAGCAACCACAGCAACCCGCAGCAGCTCCTGCAGCCCAGAGCAAGGTGCAGACACCATCGATGCATGAGGTGCTTGGCCACCGCAACGACAACGACGTGCAGCAGTACTGCAAGCTGATGGGCATCGACGATCGCAACGCCATCAGCAGCAAGCAGTGCGCAACGTGTGCAGTGACCAAGAGCACTCGTCACAGCGTCAGCAAGCACGCGGAGCGCACACAGGTGCCCGGCGAGCGCATCCACGCCGACATCGTCGACTGGACCGCGGACTCACCCACGGGCAAGCGCTACAGCCTCGTCATCGTCGATGAGGGCAGCAAGCTCCTGCATGCAGTCCATCTCAATGCCAAGAAGGACGCAGTTGCCGCGTTCCAGTCTTTCCTGCGCGAGACCAAGCTCCCCATCTCGCCCACAACAACAGCACTCCAGACGGATTCCGATGCCATCTTCCTCGGAGCTGACTTCCAGGCCATCGTCAAGAAGCACCTGAAGCAGCACCAGCAGTCCCCGCCGTACACCCAGGCGCAGAACGGCATCGTCGAGCGACAGGTGCGCACCCTCTCCGACATGGTGCGAGCCATGATCACGGGTGCAGGCCTCGACGCATCGTACTGGAGCCTCGCCTGCAACCACGCCCTCCACATCCTCAACAACATGCCTCGCC